AGCTTCCAAACTGGACTACTCGCACCTAAAATTTTCTGGGCACAGCAGAATTTTCTGCAATTTTCTGCAATTTTTCCTAAGTCCGAAATCACTCCGAGACACCTCCAAAACACTCCCGAGCCCTCGGGGCTCCAAACCTAATATGAACACTGACTCTAAAACATCACACGAACTTGCTCGAGCGATCAAATCGCCAAAATAACATCAAAATCAATAATTTGAGCCTTAAATCCAAGAATTCTTTCAAATTTCATAAACTTTCAAATTTTCCAATTTAAGGCCGAAACCCATCAAACAACGTACGTTTGTAACCAAACTTTACAGGAAGCACTTAACCAACATATATGACCTGTACCGGGCGGCAGAACCAAAATACGAGCCCGATACCATTACTTTCTGATCAAATTTCATTTTCATTTTCATCTTCCTTAAATATTTTCAGAAAACAATTTCACGAAAAAATTCATTTCTCGAGCCTGAGACCTCGGAATTCGATTCCGGAAATACGTTTAACTCCCATATTTTCTTTGGACTTTTCGAGACCAAAAAATTACGGGTCCGGGTCTGTTTACCAAAAATATTGACCAAAGTCAACTTTAACAATATTAAATATCAAAAAAATTTCAAATTTTTCCCATAATTCATATATTTCAACACAAAGATATTCCGGACATACTCCTAAGTCCCAAATAACCTAACGAAGCTATCCAAACCATAAAATTCGCATTTCAAATCCGATATCAAAATTTCCACTTCCGGCCAAATTTTCTCAAAAACCTTCAATTTTCCATCTTTAGCCGAACGGCTCCAAAATGACCTACGGACCTCCGAATTCACTTCCGATTGCTCTCCCAAATCCAGAATCACCATACGGAGCTACTCCCAGTCTCGGAATCCCAAACGGACATCAATAACACTGAAATGCATTTTAAACCAAACTGATGCAATTTCTTCTAAAATGCTATCTTCCACAATAGGCGCCAAAACGCTCCCGGGTTATCCAAAACCCGATGCGGGCATACGCCCAAGTCCGAAATCATCATACGAACCTGCTGCAACCTTCGGATCCCAATTTCGAGGTCGTTTACTCAAAATTCCAATCCTAGTTCATTTCTTCAATTTTAAGCTTTCAAAATGAGAATTTC